ATGATAGGAACACAAAATGATTGAGGAGTTTACATAGGAACACAAAATGATTGAGGAGTTTTTAGACATGAGAGTTCAAATGTCCAGCTAGAATTAAATCTGTACAATATGACCCAAAACTGGGAGATGAAGCTGACAAAACAAAGCAATTAGTTTAAATATTGGGAGATGTTGCTTAATGATGAAGTCAACTGTATTCTGAAAAGAGCAGCCAAAAGAAGTTATCCAAATCGCATCATTTGGGTCATTAAAATGGATCTAAAAAGAGTAAAGAGAAAAGGATTTGGAAGGAGGGCTGGAAAATACACTGCACACTAATTTTATATCTGAAAGGGTGGAATATAATGACAAAATGGATATTTTAGTTTCTGGGTCAATTAGGCAATGGCGCTGGCTTTCTGATGATTTGCACATAGAACCTGAGATTCATTTAAATCTTTGCTGTTAAAGAATTTATTTGGAGGAAGTCTTAAACCGTGAAAGATGGAAGACACTTCAGAAAATAAGAATTTCCTTGAATTTTAGTGCTAAAACAAATCAAATTTATACAGCTGTCCCATTGATTTTTTTAAGTCTTTTGTTTCAACATAAACTGATTCTATGTTTAACTTTTTCCTCTAGTCATTTTTAATGAAAAGCCCAAACAATTATGATATATACTGGGATGAATGGCAGTGAAGGTCACATAAACATATGAAGTCAACAATTCTCTTTCCTTAGGAGCAAGACATCTCACTTGGATAAATACAAGGAAGGCAAAAAACAACGAGGCTGGAAGAATGAATTTCTCCCTACCTCCCCAACCCTCCGAAAACTTAACTAAGAAGGTAATTGCAGAAGTGAGAAAACAGTAATTCACACTGCTTCTTCATTCAAACACATTTTTGTTGGCCTCTGAAGATCAGTGCAATAGAGTGAAGTCCTTCTAAACTTCTCAGAGACCCCGGGGACAACGTGGCTGTTCATTTACACTGGAAAGGAGGGCTACAAGTGACCATAACGGAAGGAGCAGACAAATACTGAGTACTTGCCGATGCAGAGAGAGATGAGCTAATTAACTTGCTGAAAGTTGAATAGTTGGCAAGCTATGATACTTCTGGACTAAGTACCTGGACAGGCTGCACATCAGCACTTTAGGCATTCTGCCCCTGGAACATGGTAAACACAGAGCACCTATCAGAGAAAGCTTTGGGAGTGGAGATGATACCCAGTATAAGTACTGTAGGACAAGACTATGTCAGTAGAAGGGGCAGAAGTAGGGAACAATACAAATATTCCAAGCTATGAAATAACATAGCAAAGTTAGAAAAACACAAGTTGTTTTATATTATTAGACTTTGGGACAGAAAGTAGATGAGTTTGGAGTCGTGTACAAGAATCAGATCATCAATGTTTTTTTGTGCTGTGCAGTGAAGCATGCATTTTATCCTTAATATAAGACAACACTGAAAGATTTTTAAACAAAGGAAGCTTAAAAATTTTTAGATAGATCTTTCTGATAGCAGTGTGGAGGATGTGAGGTTGCGGGAGGAAAGTTTGGAATTAAGGCAATCAGCTGGGGACAATTGTAACAGGTTAGAGGAAGGAAGACAAGGATGAGAATTAGGGCCAGAGAGGTGGGAACAAATTCAAAGAATGTTTGGGGGTGGTGAATCAGTAAACTCAGGAATAAAAAGAATGAGAAAATGTGAAGAATAAATGTATAGAATAATTGTCAAGTTTCTGATGGTGTAAATTGAATAATACCTGTAAGGAAGTAAGTGAGGTTGACCTGAGTTCAGTTTGGGTGTTGTAGATTCAAGGGGCCTGCAAAATATTCAACTGAAGCTCTTTTTTTTTTTTTATTTTAA